ATATTTAGTTAATAAACGTAAATAAACTAAAGAAAGTAATAATATATATATATATATATATATATATATAAGGAACCTAATTAAGTTTTAATATTTAATTCACCAACTGTTAAGGCTTTAGTGGGATAAAGAACAATATAAGCACAACATATCTTGTTATCATGAAATTGACATTTTTTTTCCAACTTGCTGCTTTTGATGTCAAAATTTTTTTTAAGCTACCTCAGCTACCTGGGTTAGCAGATAAAATTAACAACATGTGATTTTGCTGCTACAGTAAACAGATGGCAAGTTGTTATTGCAATGTGAATGAAAGCTCAGTGTTTAACTTTTACTGACATCTAATGTTAGCAGGGAAGAAGAAGAGAAAATAATTTATTTAAAACCACCAATTTTTAGATTTTGTTGGCAAGAAAACCCCAATTTCTAGAGTTAAGCCATCAAGCTTGCCATTAAGCCACTGGAAGCATAGGTAGAGATATTATGAAAGAGCAATTGTCACATCAAGTGTGTTTTTGAGAAACCCAGAATTTCTATGAAAGTACAGCCTTATATTAGTTAATAATTTAACATCTTATAATCTAGGCAACTTAAAAAAGAAAATACACTGAGAACAAACATCCTTCTTTTAGTACAGGAAAGTTGATATTAACTCTAGTAGTCTACTTTTTTTTTAATTCATGGTTTTCAGAACACAAATTTTCATAAGAAGAAATTGTAGTTGAACTTAATTGTGAAAAATCAAAGGAAGTAAAAGTTACTTTATAAACTTTTATGAACAGAATCCATTTTATATTCATATTAAATTTTAAGTATGAGTTTTAAGAATGAACAAGAAAAGTAACTTAAAAGAAACTTGAGATAAAAAATAATTTTAAATTCGCATTCTCAGGTATTGCAATTAATATATCATATTAAAAGTGAGATACTTGTACACAAACCTGATACTTTAACCTTTTTAACTGTCCTATTTGAGTTGTTGGCTATATGAACATTGACTGCAATTTCTTCTCCATGGTGGTAAACCTGAAAAAAATTATTTCGTAAAAGGAAATATCGTGAGAAACAATTTTCAAGTTGACAGTATAAATAAAATCATACACTGACACACTCATGCACACAGAGGATACTCTGTCTGACCTTTCACAGTTAGATTCTAAATTTAGTTAAATAACTATAACCAACATACACCAATAATTGTGCCATCAAAAAACATAGTTTATAATTCAAATATTTATATTATCTAAGTTCTTATTTTTTAATTTCAAAAGGAAATATTTAAATAATTTCTCAACCTTCACTTCTTTGTGTCACATTGAATTCTCTTTTATAGATTTTCTCTCTTCCATTTTTTTTGGATTTCAATTACCCAACCAATTAGAAAGACAAACTATAGATACAGGTAAATCTGAATATAAAATGTAAATGTCCTACCTTCTTGAGTTATTGAGATATCAATAAATTTGTGAAACCAACCAATGAAGCCCCTCCCACCTTATCATAGAGCTTTCAAGTGAATTATCTATAACACATGTGATTACTTGGACATATTTATAGCCAACAGAAAGTTTTTTCCTTTACATAAATCTTGTTATAGTTATTTCTTTCTGGTGAACATACTAAACAGTTGGCCTCATTTTCTTTATCAGTGATCACTGTTGTTCAGGTTTGAGCAACTAACAGAATTTTTTTAACATAGTTATAGCTTAGTTAGAAATCCCATTAAATTATAGTCATTTTGGGACATTCTATTTTAGTGCCTGAAGTATTTTTTGTGTTTAAAAATGTACATTTGAAAAGCACATGAATTTTTATTTGAATAACTAATTTATGAAAAACAAAGGAGTCTCAGCTTTATGTTCATTCGAGAGGAATCATGTATGGGGCAAAAGCTTAGCTTGTGACAATTGGCTAACTCCCTACTGCTTTGACTTATTTCTTTTGATGGAGGTTGATGAGGCAAAGCACAGGAAATAAAACAATAAAAGAAAAGAAAAATGGGAAAAGGTTAAAAGTTGAATCTAAGAAGATGGACAATCTACCAAGATGATTCATTCATAGAAGAAAAGGTATTGTTCCTTTTATGTTATGTTCTTAATTTTTCATTTCACTGTATGTTGACGATTTTACTACAATTAGTGTTAGTTTAAAGAAATTAACAGCTAAAATATAAAGTTTTACTAAAAATTGTTTATATTCTTTTAGGAAGTTTTAGAAATTATGCAAATGAAATATAAAAACTGTAAAGTTAAAAGAAGTATTTTTGACATAAGGTCAATCTCTACCTGAGAACCTATATATTTGAAATGAAACAAGAAATAAAAGTATATAACTCAAAAGTTAGAAAAAAAATAATCTAAAAGTATATAAATAGAGCAATGAATATGGTATTCCAGCAACCATACTGATCACAGATCTGTGTGAGCTGCATCATCAATAAAATTATCACATTATTGGAATTTTGAAGATAAATTCCAAACAACTTTCTTTTATTTAATAGCAATATTTATAGACCTAGACATCTTAGTAGGTTTCTTGTCTTTTTGTTACTGAAACAGATTGTATAATTTACACAGTGATTTGTTGCCAAGTTTAATCTTTCTGAACGTTATATGGGATGCTATTTGTTTCTTGGCCTAAAAATCAAATACAGTAAACAGAAAAGCTGTTATGCTATGTTCTCTTTCATTGGATGCTGAATTAATAAACCTATTGTGAAATCTATATAAATAGAACTTTATTTTTATCTTTTTCTATAAATATTTTAATTGAAAAAATTTTTGATTTTACGAGATAGGTTTAGAGGGGACTGGACTTGGCTCTCCATGACAATAGGTCGGTACTAAACCAATTGAGCTTGTAGTTACTTCTCACTATATTTGTATATGTGTGTCTATATATATATGTTATTTCTTTAATCCAATTTGAAAAATCAATTTTGAAAAAAATCTTTCAAGTATCCTATTACTGCTCTTCCATTTCTTATAAATTCACAAAAATTCATTTAATTCTCCAGAATAATTTGCTTGTGTATACCTATTATTTGAGAGATCAACACATAAATTACTATACAAAATTGAACCTATTGGCAGTATTTACTCGTCACTGAATTGATAAGGGCCAGGAAACAACTGAGCAATGTCCGGGTCCATCGGAGA